TATTTTTTTAAATATATTTTATTGATTTTTTAGATAGAGATAGAGATAGAGATAGAGATAGAAACATCGATGAGAGAGAAACATCGATCAGCTGCCTCCTGCACATCTCCTACTGGGGATGTGCCCGCAACCCAGGTACGTGCCCTTGACCGGAATCGAACCCGGGACCCTTCAGTCTGCAGGCTGACGCTCTATCCACCGAGCCAAACCGGTTTTGGCATGGGACTGACATTCTTAAGGGCCGCCTCTATGCCACCAATCTACCTGCAGGGAAACTGAGGATCAGCAAGGCTAACCATCCAGAGAGACGGTGTAGACGGGCACTGGGGAGGGAGTGATGCCAGGTGGGGCTGCAGGCTCAGTGTCCCTCACAGCACAGGCTTGGGGTCGGAGGAGCCGTGATGGGCGCTGTGCAGTGGGCTTTCTGACGCTCCATTCCACAGTCTGCCCCGTATGCCACATACAGGCGAACCTTAAGAACAGCCTGGAATCTAGGCTTTGTATCTTATTCTCTGCCATCCACTGCAGGGCATGGAAGAAATCACACCCCTCTTCCCTGCCCGAAACTTCAGCTTATTGCTACTTAGTGGAGATGCCAGGGGGAGCACTTTAGGGGGAGCAGTTTAGGAGGAGCTAACGGGCTTCTCATCTCCAAGCTGGCCACTTAGAAAACAACACCTTCACTGACCCTCATCCACCCCACTGTCCCCTCCCTCTCCTCTCTCTTTCTTCCAGTTGGCACCTACAGCACCCCAGGAACCCTGCTGGCAACGGGGGATGCAGTGTGAACAAGACACATCCTCTGCCCTCAAGAATCTGCATCCTGGTGGGTTCCTGGGGAAGTCAGACACGCCAGCAAGCATGTGCTCTGAGAAGTGTCCACGCTAGAACAGAAGGATGGGCCGGCCCACTGTGGGACGCAGGGAGGCGTGATCAGGACCACCCAGAGGGATGTGTCTGGAAGTCTCCACGGAGGGGATGGCCCTTGATGGTTTGAGCTGTGAAGGTGCACAGGTGTTCCTTCGCCGGATGCGGCCTGGGAGAAGGTGTGGGGAAGTGCTGCTGGGAGGGGCCTCAGCTAACCAAAGGCAAAGAGGAGAAAAACCGTGCCCGGTGGTCTGGTCACTGTCAGCCACTCTCTGTTGCTAGAAGGGTCTCATGATCTCAGGAGAACCCTGCCCACCTGCCCCCGGGCTGTCCTTTGCTGGCTCTCGGAATCTGTGCTACCATCGGCCACTGAGACGCAGGTCAGGGAGCAGGGGGCACCAAGCGAGGGATTGTGACTTCCCTCCCTCTACCCCACCTCCTCACCTCCTGCCACTTCCCTGATGTTTTACAGTTGTTTTGGTTGCTCTTCTCACCATTGGTAATGGTTAGAACGTTCCTATGTGTTTGGCTTGCCACTTAGAACTTAAACTCTTTAAATACCATTATTTCAATGTAGCAGGTACAACATTTCTATAGATGTTGTATCTCCCAGCAGCCAGTACATACATACAACAAATGCTATGGACACAGCCAGACCTCACATTCGAAACTGCCAGCCCTAATCGGTTTGGCTCAGTGGATAGAGCGTCAGCATGCAGACTGAAAGGTCCCAGGTTAGATTCTGGTCAAGGGCATGTACCTTGGTTGAGGGCACATCCCCAGAACGGGGTGTGCAGGAGGCAGCTGATCGATGTTTCTCTCTCATCGATGTTTCTAGCTCTCTATCCCTCTCTCTTCCTCTCTGTAAAAAAATCATTAAAATATATATTAAAAAAAAAAAAAGAAACTGCCAGTCCATCAACAAGAATTTAAATTCCTACAAAGTACATCGCAGGGCGCAGGCAGGCAGCATTGAGTCTGACAGTGTTACGTGGCACCCATTTCATCCTGGGAAATTCAGGTAGGACATAAAGGGACAGCACGGAGAGGTGTGACAGGGGTGGAAGTCGGGGGTCACAGGGGAGACCATGACAGCTGGGCTCAGAGCCCCGGTGAAGGCCTCCTGGCTGCCCGGCCAACACAGTCTCCTGTTCACATCTCCCTGTTTCCTGAAGTGCCACTGGAGGAGGACTCTGGGAGTCCATGTGTGCTGCTTGGCTGTTTCTCCCCAACACTCCCTCTCCTAAGCCAGCTGTGCTGTCAGGCAAGTCAGACCAGGAAGCCAGGGCCCCACACGAGTCTCCTGCCTAATGAAATATTAGCATATTATTAACATTAGCCATGGCACTCATCTCTGGTTGATTGCAGTCACTCAGGCTAAGTGAGCAGGAGGTTTATCTAAAAGAGAGAAGGTAGGGAATGTGGAGGGAGGCGGTGGGGAGAGTTGCCACTTTGTCCAGGAATAAAGAATCAATCTCTTTTCAATCAGGGACAATTAACTCTAAGTCAATACGCAGAGCTCATAATTCCCAGGCTAACTGCTGCTTGCCTGGGTAGCAATGAGGAGGGTCAGGGCGTGGCCTTTGGTGAAGGACCCCGATCCTGTGACCGGGCCCACTGCCCAGCTTTCCTCTGTGGGGACTGATTCTGCTGGCTGGAAGGGGGGATCTGCCCCACCCAGGACATTGTGACATCCTGTGGTGGCTCACCCAGCAGGAGGTATGGGCTGAAACACAGTTCAGGCTCTATTTCAGGAGACCTACTATAATGTGCTGCAAGGGCATGTAGGGATGTTTTGAAGACACCAGCTCTCCCAGCCGGACCACGATGCCTGGACAGAGCATTTCCTGGGTTCTGAAGACGGCCGGCATTCACACAGTGACACATGGAGACACTGGCCAAGAGGAGCAAATCTGGTGGGTGGGGACGGGCCCCTCTGAACAGCTCTGCCTACGATGGCTAAATACCTCCTCACCTAGAGGCAGGCAGGTTGTTTCGTGGTCAGGCTCTGGCTGGTTGTCAGGGTCCCTGGCCGAGCCCTGTGCCACCGGAGACCAGACCAAGCGGGACTTTCAGCCTCCGCCCTATGTTGCTGCACTGCATGGGGAATCCACTCTCAGTCTCATTTCAGAAAGGCTGGGTGAAGCCCGTGATGGGCGATCTCTCACCGAGAATCCGTGTGGCCCAACCCTGCCTGATTCCTGTCCCTCACACTGTTCCTCAGGTATGGAAGTCAGGAGGCTAAATGACATTTAGTATCACGGGCTGACTTCTGCCCTCCTCTGTGTTTTGGTTTGGGGCTCCGGGCAGGATGTCAGGGCGCCTGGCCGCACCCTAGCGCCACTCCAGCCCAAGCAGGTGGCAGGTGCTGGCCAGCAGGCTCGTGCTGCTTTGGGAGAATGTTCTGGGGAAGAACAACTTGGGACAGGAACCACTTAAAAGCTACAGGGAGGCACATCTGAACTAAAAAGCCCGCTTTGTTTGCCTGTGGTGCATAGAACTCTCAAGTAGAGACCATCATGGCCCTGCACCTTCATTAATATTTATCGAGTCCGTGCTCTACACAAGGCCCCAGACCCGGCGCTGAGTCCTGATGTCTGACCTTGCTGTCTCAACCTGGAACACGAACCGCTCACAGACCGAGGGGAAGGATGTACATGTTGAAGGAGAGAGAGACCAGAGTGGAAACACCCAGAGTGGCAATTGGAGTCCTGATGTCTCAGGGCAGACAAAGTGGTGAGGGAAGGTCTCTGCCCCACAGGGAGTTTGGAAAAGGAGTTTGTGGGAAGGGCAGCCCACCGCTTCCTGCAGAGAACAGAAATACCCTTCAGAACCTGCCGAGGGTCACTGCTGGGTGCCGCCCTCTGCAACCCAGCTCCAGACAGCTGCCTACCTGTCTCTTACCTGCGTCTCAGCCCCCGGAGGGCTGGGGCCCTGGCTGATGGTCCCTGTACCCTTGGTGCCCAGCATAAATCCAGGCACACAGGATGCACCTGGTTGTGAGAGCCACCTGGCTGCGATATTTGGCAGGTTACATTTTGCTCACTTAGTTGGTTAAATAAATGTTTTTAATCGACTGACTGCTAGGAAAGGATGATTTGACTAGTCAGAAGTGAGCACAAAAACAGTAGGAGGGGTGGGGAGGCCCAGAGAGAGCCTGCACCGAGTCCCTGATGGTGAAGGGGGCCCATGACCACCATGGCCTGTGGCCACTACCCTAGACTCGCTGCCCCCATCCCACCCACCCCCGGACTTGTCCTCTGCTCTCCTTTCACTCACCAGTTGCTCTTCCAGGTGTGGCGGACGTGCGGGTCGTGAATGCCATGCTTATCAGCCTGCTCATCCAGGAAGTCGAACATGTACTTGATGGCCAAGGGCAGGGCAGAGCCACGGTGCGCGGTGCTGAAGATGGTCTCAAAGAGGTCGTCCACGAACTTCTGCAGCGTGCCCTGGGGAGGCGGCACGGGTTCACACACGGCTCCCCCAGGGAGCTCGCAGGGTGGGTTCATGGCCTGCCTCCCGTGGGGCGGGGAGGACAGGGCAGAGCCGGGCCAGCTTGGGTGGAACGGGGGAAGTACATGCATTAAAGCTCCCCCACCCCCTTCCTCTGTCTCTAACGGCTTTCCATTTCTGCTGCACGTGGGGAATACGTACGCCACTGACGACTGGACCTAACTAAGCCTTCCTCTGCCAAAACGCGGTTTGGTTGAACACCATTTGGCATTGCTATTTGAGCACTTTTTGCAAATGCTAATGAGCAACTCACGGCTCAGAGCAGACAAACACAATCTGCTGCTTTGGTTTGGGCATTACTCACTCCGGCTAACGATCAGTTACCCATTCTGCTCTGCACGGAGCAGGGCCCAGGCCAGCCTCCGGGTGAAAGACTAATGGCCGGTACAGACTGTCCCCAGGACCAGGCTCAGAACCGGTGCCTGGAAAGTCACCAATGGGCCCCACGTTCCATCACTACAGATGGTAGGACACCCAGAGAGGCATTACCCTTTCAGGAGGGTGGCGGAAGAATGTGAATAGATGCGGCATGTGCGTGAGAACCGCACAGAGAAGGAAACGAAACTTCAGACGGCATGCCAACACTGATGTGTGGGTGGGGTTTGCCCGGAGCCCCGTGTGAGAAGGATTGAGGTTCTGTGCTGGGAAGGCGTGCTGTGCTGCCAGTGCCTGCCATGAGTAGAGGGGTCCTGGTGCAAATGCTGGGCCTTTCACAGCTCGGGCAGCTCAGGGGTAGGCAGGGAAAGGGGTGAAGACCCTTACTGTACTCACACGTGCCCCACCCCGTCTGAAGTCTGATACCTTAGTGGCCAGTAGTCGGGTGAGATAGATCTCGGACACCATCTTGCTCCCCCGGTCCCCCTCCTTCTGGTCCCCGTGCTCATGGTTCTTCACCAGGTGCCACATCTTGACTCCACTCTCCAGGTCGGGGGTGATCATGGGCGTGCGCGAGCGGAGGCTGTCGGGACTGCCCGTGTACCGGATCATGTTCTCTGCCAACGCGATGGGCCACGTGCGTGAGGCCACTCAGCCGTCCTCACTCACAGCGCACCCGCCGCAGCCGAGGCCAACTACTGCCCCGTCCTTCCTGCGGGTTTCTGCCTGTCCCCCTGCCTCGGCTTGGCCCATTCCCTGGAACCGGGGGCCGTTCCCGGCACCCCCGGGAAACCTGTGGCTACTTCACCCACTCCGCTCCCTTCCTCCTGCACTTGCATCTCGCCAGCCCGGAATTGTTCAACTTGTAAAAATATAAGCTTGTCCTCTTTTCCACTTCCCTGGTAAGAGTTCTCAAGTCATATCTCAGGATGCGTTCAGAGTGGCCAATTAAGTACCAGCGTAAGAGCAGGTAGCCTGTCTCCCTTAATGACTGGACCAGCCGCGGAGCTGTCTCGCCAGCTGCTCACCTGCACGCTACCCTCTGGCCTGGGCCACTTCTTTCCCCTTATTTGCTGAAATGCGAGTGTTGCGCAGAAGAGACGATGAAGGGCCTACTGTGTGCGGCACTGTTCTATGTTCTATTGATTTTCCAGAATGATCCTGCCATTTTGGTAGTTTTTTCAAACCCCGTTTTGCTGGTAAGAAAACCAGGTCGTGTGGTGATCAGGCAGCTGGCCCCCAGGCACTCAGATGGTGGCGGGACAGGGTGGCACCTGGGCTTCCAGGCCACATCCAGTGCTCCCCCCGCCCCCCACCTCAGAACCAGAAACCTGGGCCTGTACCTTCCCTTAAATGCTTCATAACAGCGTGACCTTTACACAGTGTGCCGCCGTGCCTCTGAGTTATAATTTGCTAATCTGCATAATAGGGGGAAATGATAATTATTTAATCCACCGGATTGTTATGAACTTGACACACGATAATGAGTATCACACAGTGAAAGCATCTTTCTGACTAAGATGCTGGCAAAGGAGAGGGTTCCTTCCTGCTCTAGGGGGTGAGTTCTGCTCCTGCACCCAAGTTCTGCCTGGAACCAAGGGCTCCTACCCAGCCTGCTCTCCTCTCCTGTGGCAGCCTGCCTGACTCTCCCAAGCTCCACCCCCCCTGCCTGACTCCCCCCAGCTCCTTCCCCCCAATCTGACTCCGCCCAGCTCCTTGCCCCAGGGGTCTGCGCCATCCAGAAGCACTGTGAACGTGACAACAGCTGCTCAGGGCACCCTCTCTCCCCAGGACAGTGCCAGGGACTCACCGTATTTGCTCGCCGAGGTCCTGGAGACAGTGGAGTTGTTCACTGCGTTGTAGGCTGTCACCTGCTTGGACACTAGGGCCACCACAGAACCATCAGGCACCTGTGGGGAAGAGGCTCCTGAGGGCTGCGCACAGCTCTGCCTCCCCAGGAGATGGGGACACACCAGGATGAAATCAGGCTGCGCCAGAGAACTAGGGGACTTGGGAGGCTGTTGGCTTTCCTTTGAACAAAACAACACAGATCTGGACACTGAACAGTGTTCTATGTGGTGACTCACTCTTGGGGGGACCCTGGCAAGAGCTTCTCACTAGTGCCCCCTCTCCCTTACAGCACCCAGGCTTGTGGAGGAGTCCCGCGTGGGGACTAGGAGATGTTTCTCTCAGGACCGCCCAGGCCCCGAAGGAAGCAGCCCATCAGTGCCTGTCCCCAAGGAGGTCAGGGTTTCCTGCTGGGGACCTCAGTTCTCCGGGGTCCCTGGAAAACATGAGGTGCTGGGAGGAGGAATTAGGACTGGGTGTCTAGCCTTGGGGACCTGCTATTCAAGGACTGAGAGGGCAGGGATCTGGGCCCTGCTGGCCAGCCCCTCCTCCCTTCCACAGTCCCCACACCTGGTAATGGGCCAGCGTGTTCAGTCTCTTCCAGTCGTTCTCGATTTTGGTGGTGATGTCTTCGTCCTGCAGGATCATCCGCACCCCGCTTCCTTGTCGCCACTCTGTGGAGGGAGCAGCAGCAGCTCAGAGCAGCCCTCGGGCCCCTCCCATGGAGACCCGGAGGACCCTGTGTGGGCACCCACACAGCCCTATCGAGGGGCACCCTGAACAACAAATGCTGGCAGACACTCCCTGAGGAGGGGGTGCAGATGCTCTCGGTGCAGAGGGGCCCTGAGTCCCAGTTCTGATTGTCATCCCTAAAACTACGTGACAGGACCAGGGATGCCGTCACCTGTCCTCCCTGCCCACCTGTTCTCTGGGAGTGGCCACATCTGCAGGGAGCAGATGCTTAGTAAACCTTGGCTGAGTGAACGAGGCAGGTGGAAGCAGTAAGAAAGCACGAAGCCAATGCAATGGCCCTGTCATGCCACATGCTCCTTGGCTTGGAGCTACAGAGACCTGGGTTGCAGGTGCGGCACTGTTCACCTGTTCCTACGCCAGGGGTGTGTCCTGCCCTTGAAAGCCAGAAGGCGGGTCCCCGTGGGCAGGGAGACGGGGTGAATCGGAGCGGAACCTGTTCTCATGCAAGAAGAAGCCGCATCCCCAGAGCTGATGTGGATAACAGCATCTGGGGGATCTACCCAACACCTAATTGGTTGATGTTATAGGCACAGACTTACACCCCCACATTCTCCTCATGGGGCCCGACACCTACAACACATGGGCTGGCTGATGGATCCCACATGGGCAACCAGGAGGCTGTTCCTCATCAACCACATCCCATCGCACACGTGGCACCCATCTCCTGGGGATGGAGACTGGGGACATGCCAGACACACCAGCTCTGGCGCATGTGCACGCACACACCCACCCGCCCATGCATACACGCTCACACGCACACACCAGAAAGAAAAACAGCCTTTTAAAATCAGTGCAACATGTGTTCCAGCCAGGAAGCCAGGCGTCTGGTTTCCAGGCAGCCACACTGCCCTCCACGCCTCCCAGATGCTGACACTTGGGAGCCGTGCGAGTCTGGGATTCACAGAGGGCAGTGAGGGCTGGAACGAGTTACCCAGTCCTTGCCTGACCCCGCCATGGATTTTCCTCTGGCCCACAGAGACACATTTCGGATCCCCTCCCTCCATTCCACTCTGGTCAAGGCTGAGCTGTGGGTCCATGACCAGCCACATTGGTGGCACGGAGGGCGCCAATTCCTTCCTGCCTTGTTCTCCTGGTGTGGGCAGTGCTACAGATGGAAAAACAGGCCCAGAGAGGGGTGGCTGCCCTCAGACGTAGCAGAGATGCTCCTGAGATCAAAGCCCCGGCCTCCCGCTCCTGGGCTCACCCGCTGCCTGGTGTAGCGCCTCAGGTGGTGCCCAACTGTCCCAGGAATGAGAACATAAGGATGCCACCTGTGTTCACCCGAGCAGGGCCCTGCTGGGCCTCTGGGGACCACCCATCACTTAGTGCTGCTGCTGATCAGCTGGAACTGATCCTGGAGATTAGGGCTTTGGGGCAGGTACGGGGGTGAGCAATAGGGGAAACGCCCCAAGGAGGCACCTGGTCACCAGTGTTTTGCTTGCCGCTGTGCTGTTGTATTTGTGTGGGTTTTAAATTGCACGTGGCTCTGTGTGGATGTATGCATGCACGTATTTTTGAGTGGCTGGGACAACAGAAGAGGAATATCTCCCAGCTGGCTGGGCCGCCGACAGGAGGTTCACTCAGATCCTGGTGAAGCCCAGGACGACAGCAGTGGTGTGCTTTGTCCCAGTCACACAGTGGGGCCTGACAGACAAAGCCTCTTGGGTGTCCCTGCCTGCCTGGGGAGTGGTGCCAGGGCCATTAAGTCAGGGCTGCATGGGGTGGGGGACAGCATGGCAGATTGGGGCACAGAAGTCAGTGTTCTGTGTTTCCTGCATGGGGTCTGGAGGCAAAGCCGGGGATGAGGCTGAATGCTAAGCCCACTGGCTGGGCCCAGGGGAGAAGGGGTCTCCTCCACTGAAGTGCTGTGGGCCTTGCCGAGACCAGATGGGGCGGGACCAGCCGGGGCCAGCGTCTGGTTTAGCAGCTGCACTGGCACCCCTTCCGATGGAGCCAGGTACCTCAGTGCAATCTGGACAAGCCGCACAGCCTGAGGGACTAGCAGGGACAGCGGATTCTGGAGCCCCGGGCGGACTTCCCTGTTGCATAACCGCCCTGAGCTGAGCAGTGCGCAGCGTCGGAGTGAACCGCCTGTGTGGCTGTACCCAGCCGCCCTGGCTCTGGGTTGTGTCCACTATTATGTAAGCAAATGAAAGTCAGGCTGCGTCTCTGCCCCCAACTGAAAAGTAGGGCAGAGCGTGGCCATGTGCACCCCGAGCAGTGAAGGAGCGATGGCCTGTCCTTGGAACACAGAAATGATGCTGCTAGAGGCCACCCAGCAGGGCTGGCCCAGCACCTGGGGCAGAGCAAGTCCTGGATGAGTGTTTCTTAAAGGAACAGTGCCTGCGTGGGTGAACGGATGAAGGGGAAGAGTGTGTGAGTGAGTGAGGGGGCCCTTTCCCAGGTAGGAAAAGAGGTCCATGGCAGGCAGACAGTGAGCTAAGTCAGGGGTGAACCGAGAGCTACTCTGTTAGCAACCGGGGACCCAGGATGGTCTGAAGTCCTCAGAAACACAAGAAGGCATGCCCATTCCAGAAATAAACACTCTCTAAATTATCGCCACTCATTCTTCTAATTGTGTGACTGGAGGTTAAAGAAACAGGTTGGGAAGACAGACCCCGTGTCATCATCCCCAGCCGCTGCTCACTCTGCCAAGCAGTTGAGTTCCCTCCCGAGGACCCTGAGAGGGTTCCTCCTCTGGGTGGGCACTGGACCAGGTGTTCGGGATACAAAGATAGATAAACAGAGGCCCCAGACTCCGGCAGACGTGGCACAGCTCGGGCACTGCAGCATGGCACGGTGAGTCCCACTGTCACGAGTGTGGGGGGAGGGAGAGCGATGGCTGGCTGGAACCCTGGGCTGTGGCTGCGCCACAATGCTGGCAGATAGTTGCGTCCACTCAGCTCCATACTCAGAGCTCTGGGAACCGAGGGGCACCACTGGCAGTGTAGCTTGGATGTAGACCTTCCTTTTCAGCAAAGCCAAGTTGCGCTGGTGGGTGGACACAAGCTTTGCCCACTGGCTGAGGTTTGTGGGCAATGTTGTGTGGAGAACAATGAATCAAGACTCAGGTGATTGGAGGAAGAGCAGGGTCTGCAGGATCAGGGGTGGGGAGACGGCCAGAGCTGAGTGCTGAAGGCTCAATAGCCTGTGCCTCACTTAGCATGGGGACAGCAGTTCAGATCCAAAGGTGCCATTTATGGGACACGTCTAGGGATCCATGCATGTGGAGGCAGTGGAAGGAAGAGGCTGGCGAGGCACACACAAGAGAAGAAATGAGTTAGGAACGATCTGGCACACCATGCTAGGGTGCCTGGGATTGAACTGAGGGCCACAGAGACAGGGTGAAGGAGAAGAGGTGGGGAGCCTCGCCTAAGACAGCTGCCTTAGGGCCTGGGCTAAGGCGGTGGGGCGGGAAAGGAGTTGTAGGGGGTGTCCAGGAGACAGACCAGAGAGAATGCTTGGAGATTCGACAGGGGAGAGGAGCTGGGGCTCCATGGTGTGTCCCGGGTTTGTGAGAAGGTGTCTAGGGGAAGAGAGGGGGTTGGTTCATCTACAAGCCAACCCTGGAAGGAGACGCTGAAACTGAGCAAATCACTGGCCCAGCTCCTGGAGGGTCCCCACCCACCAGCAGATGCTACGAGAAGCAAACCCTCCTGGAGGTGCACACATTAACTCACTAGCCCCGACCCTCAAGCCCTGTGCTTGCTGGCAGGAGCGTGGTGGGGGTGTGTGCGCGTACACACACACACACACACACACACACATACACACACAGATATAGGCACACACACGGACACACAAGCACATACTTTCATGCATGCACCTCATTTTACCCAGGCTGGGGACCCTGAAAGCTTTGCAGCAACCCTTCCTCCCCGTCCGCCTCCACGCCCCCCACCTCCGCCCCGGCCAGTCCTGGTTCAGTCTTCCTACCACCATCCATCCTCAGACCCATCACAGGGAGCTTTAGGAGGGCTGGCCTAGGAGGGCAAGGCAGGGAGGAGATGCCCACAGGCTGGTTAGAATTGGCAGAGTCAACCCTCATGATCCAGAGGGAGGAACTCCAGAGCCAGATGCCTGTGTTCCACCCAGGCCACCCTCCTCACCTGGGGGCCATGAGAGCAGCTTTTCACCAGGAGCACCTGCCACCCTGCATAGAGCCCGCTCTCCCTCCAAAAGCGGGGTCCTGAGCAGAAATCTGGAGGAGACACGATCTCCGGCTGCACACCTGCTAGCAGGTGAGTCCAGGGAGCACGGCCAGAGTCTGAGACCCTCAACATCTGGCCCTGGCCGCGCGGAAGCACAGGGTGTGCATCACGGGAGAGCTGAGAGGGCCGTGACCTCAAACAAGGTCTGCAAACCTGCCCTGGGAGCGGAGGCTGTCCCCATCTAAACAGGCTTTGTTAAAAAAAGTTTATTGTCTGAGCCAGTTCTAAAACATAAAATAATTGAACGATGACACGGGGTGCTTAAAAGAAGAAATTCCTAAATAGAACTGTGCCGTCAGCAGTTTGGGCTCCAGGTCTTTGCAAACTGAAAAGCGCCTGCACTGGCTAGGGTTGCTATGTGGGTAAGTCCGGAGCTCAAGGAAGAAGGTTGTGCTACGCCACTGGATTTAAGAGAGATGAGCTAGAGCTTAATGGATATTCTTGAATATAGAATACAGAGGCCCTGGTGTCACTTGGCCAGTGTGCTGGGTAAAAAAAGAATTAAAAAGGCAGGTGGTGGGCGGAGGAAGGAGGGAAGGTGACCCTGGTATTCACGTTCATGGCACCAGGAGAAAATTGCTAGCCCCGACCTCCCTGGCAACTCCTGCCCTGCAGCCCGGTGCCCTGCTCCAGGCTCCAAGCACAAAGGACAGACACTCACAATCCAATTTGTTACACTTCCACCTTGCAGGGAGAGAGGGAGGTGAACT